TGGTCATCCTCTTTCCCTCGGGTACCATTCGAGAATACGCGAGGTCCATCGGTTGTCATCAAAACGCGCGACGTGGCCTACCCAACGGATCTTGCTCTCTCCCGTAGCTCGCACGCCACTCATTTTCTTGTCCATACGATCATGAAGACATATTCTAACCATCCTTCGTTCCATTGCTTTCTCCGTCACAGCCAGGACATTTTCTTTGCCTTCGTCGGTGCCCACGTTTTGCATCCGTATGTCATTGCCGTCAGTACTTCGATGCTGAGTAGGCGAGCACGATCTTTTTGATCTGATACCTGGAGGACATTGATGATGCTATAGAATTTGGGCAGTCCGGCAGCCCTTCGATACATAATCTTCGGTAGGTGATCATGGCGCCTATTCAATTCTTGGTCCAAATACACAGTTGTTGAGTTCTTCCAAATCTGCATCGTCTACCTCTAAACTGACCATGGGCATGCCGACACTGCATCGTCGCTGAGTAGAAATTAAGACCTATTTCATTAGTTCATTTGCTGAGCTCTTGCAGTAAGTACCTTTTGCAATAAGTACTAAGTCGTCTGCGAAGAACTGGTGATTCAGCTGTTCACCGTTGATGTTCAGACGGCCCTTCCAGTTCAATCTGCAGAACACCATCTCCAGGCAGGTATTAAGGAGCTTCGTTGATAAAGGATCGCCATCTCACGCCCTTCTCGACCGGTATACGAATTGGGTTTGAGAAAAGCGTTATTTCGGTCAAGCATCCTGCATTTGCTTCTTTGATGATTTCGACATAGTTATAATCGATTCGATTTTCCACAAGAGCTTTAGGACACCGTTCATTTCCATTTATGGAATGCCTTCTCATAATCGACGAAAAGGACACCTAAGGTCTGATCTAATTTGTACTTCCTAGCGCGCTGTAGCAGTTGGTCTACAGTGAAAAGACTGCCCGTGGAACTATATTTACTTCGAAATCCTGACTGTTCCTCTGGCTGCTGCTCATCGAGTGGCCTAGTGAGGCAGTACTTAGTGACTCTCGTGAACAACTTGTTTACGTGGTAGAGCAAGCAGATCGGGCGATAGTTCTTCAGCTCTTTTTTATCGCTCTTTTTATGGAACAGAACTATCCTCGATTCTTTCCAGCTGCTAGGGATGGTCTTCTCCGTCAGGTAGCGACTGAATCGAATGGAGAATGCTTTCCAGAGTGCGTGCCCGCCGGCTTTCATGAGCTTAATGCTAATACTGTCGTACAGACAGCTTTACTCTTCTTCCTCTGGAAGATTGCGCTTACTTCACTGATCAGCACAAGGAGAATTTGTTTCCTGGCGGTTCGAATTTCTGGGGTTGGTACGTTGATACATGACGCAAACAGTTTCGTGTTCAATTTTCTAAATAGTTCTTCCATACCTTTTCGGTCCATGATTCGACATGTATCCTCATTTTTCAACGCCGTGGTATAACAGCATTTCCCTTCTGCATTTTTCAAAGCTTTGTTTTCTTTGAACCGCCGCTATTAGTCTTGGACGTCCACCTTCAGCATCTTACGAATTAACCTGCAAAGAAGATGATACTCCGCATTCCTGATTTTATTCTGATTCAAGGTTCTTCTCTTCTCCGGCAGTTTTTTTGCCACCTCTGAGACCCTCGAATTCTTTCGTCGAGGCTAAGCATGTTCGGCTGTTTCTGAGCACTGAAGAAGCTTTTCAGTGAAACTTTAGTAATATTGTTCAATGCTCGCCGTCAGAGTCCAGTCTGTAGTTCAGACTTGTCGTTCTGCCTTTGCTTCGTTGGTCTCAGTGAGTCTTGTACGTTGATACGACACAGTGTCCTTCGTTCGACAGCCGCAATTATGTGTATTCTTGCCCGCATCATGCGGTGATCGCTTCGTGTACTGAGTTTACTCAGAGACGTCCTTCAAAACGCCCTGTGTATGGATCAAAATTCAATCGATTTCGTTTTTCGCAACTGTGTCTAATGTGATCCACGTCCATCTCCGTCCTACTTTATTTCGGAACAAGGTATTACCGATAAACAGTTTATTGGCCTCCGACATAGCCATTCTATCACCCCGCTATTTCGGACTCATATGCAAAACCTGCGAACGTGCTTCTCTGCGGCTTCCCCTCCTTGACCAAGTTTTGCGTTGAAGTCGCTCATCAGTACCACATATATAGATTTGATGATGAGAGTTGATTCGAGTTCCGCATAGAATTCTTCGACCTAATCATCGTCGCTGGCCGTAGTTGGGGCATAGACTTGAATGATGTTGAGGGTCTTGTTGGAATTCAGCCGTTGAAGGGGTACATCGACTCGCGGTGACCTAAAGCGGCAGGAAAGGATTCGTAAAGACCATTTCTTGTTCACCAAAAACCCGATTCCAGCTATGTTTCTCTGTTCTTCTCTTTTGTTGAGAAGAAATGTGTTGCCGTCCACCCAGGTCGCGTTGAGTTCTGACTTTCTTCGTGTCTCGCAGACGCCGAGGACATCGCAAGAATTTCTGTTAATCTCCAGGACGAAATGGCTGATGTGTTCATTACTCGATAGTGACCTACAGTTGTCAGTGCATTTCGAGAGGTCAGGTTTATTTCTTTTTGGCGGCCTGGTGCATCCTGAGATTCTTAGCAGACCCTCGTCCTTCGGATGCCGGCCCGCCGTCTCAGGCCAGTCCCAAGGGCGCGCAGGATACTGGGGCCCGTCTTTTTCTTCTTCTCCTCAAGGTTTTTGGACCTGTTAATTTAGTACTCGCCGGTCCAGACAGTCACTGGTAACGCTCATGCTTAGCCAGCCAGAGATGAAGTGACT